ACTCCAGTCTGGGTGACAGAGTGAGACTCCAACTCAAAAAAAAATAATAATAATAATTAAAAAATTAGCCAGGTGTGGTGGCACATGACTGAAGTTCTAGCTACTTGGGAGGATGAAGCAGGAGGATCGCCTGGGCCTAGTAGGTCAAGGCTGTGGTGAGCTGTGATCATGCCACTGCACGCCAGCCTAGGTAACAGAGGGAGATACTGACTCAAAAAAACCCAAACTATATAGCCAGGCATGGTGGTGTGTGTCTATAGCTCCAGCTGTTTGGAAGGCTGAGGCAGGAGGATCGCCTGAACCCAGCAGGTTGAGGCTGCGGTGGCTGAGAACGTACCATTGCACTCCAGTCTGGGCAACAGAGTGAGACTCCAACTCAAATATATATTTATTTATTATAGTAGACATGAGGTCTCACTCTATTGCCCAGATGGCCTCGAACTCCTGTCCTCAAGTGCTCTGACTGCCTTGGCCTCCCAAAGTGCCTGGATTACAGGCGTGAGCCATCACGCCCGGTCCCGGAGTCTTTTCTGATTGTTTCTCCCTCAATCCATGGACAAGCCCAGTGCCTACTGTCTCCTAAACACATCTTTACCTGGCCCACTGCCCTTCACCCTCGTTCTCCTCCCCCTCCAGCCAGTGCCACCTCTAGCCCGAATCCCTGCTTCCTGCAACCTGTCCTTTCTTCATGGCTCCCCTGACAATAATCTCTTTGTCATTCCAACCATCTGACCGGGTCTCTCTTGTGGTCTGACACTTCCCACGGCACCTAATGGTATGGAGGATGAAGTCCAGCTTCCTCACCTCCACCTGTGAGGCGCAAGCAATCTGGCCCTGCAGAAGGTCCCTCGAGCCCTGGCCTAGCCCTGCCGGCCTCTTCTCCATTCCTGGAACCTGCCAAGCTTGCACCCATGTCCCAGCTTTTGCATGTGTAGACACCCCTCTGCTGCGCCCGCGGGCAGCTTTCTCTCATGTCAGGACTTGGCTTAGACGCTGTCCCTGACCATTCTGTCCCAGTTAGGCTGCTGTCCCAATTAGGCCCTACCTCTTTTTTATTTTAAGTCAGGGTCTCCCTCTGTCGCCCAGGCTGGAGTGCAGTGGCACAATCACAGCTCACTGCAGCCTCGACCTCCCGGGCTCAGACGATCCTCCTGCCTCAGCCTCCTGAGTAGCTGGGGCTACTCTGCAGACGTCACCATGCCCAGCTAAATATTTTGATTTTTGTAGAGTCGATGTCTAGCTATGCTGCTCAGGCTGCCCTCGAACCCCAGGCCTCAAGCAATCCTCCCACCTCAGTCGCCCAAAGTGCTGGGATTATAGGTGTGAGCCACCGTGCACAACTGTCCCCTACTTCTAAATGGTTCAGTTTTTCTCTGTGGTCTCCCAGCTTCCACCCTTCCCCCCTCTCCACAGGCAACAGGAGCCACACCTCTGTACTATTCAGAGCCCCCAGGGCAAAAGCCAAAGGCTTCCTGCGGTCCACTGGGCTGTCCCTAATCTCCTCCTTCTGCCCCCCCCATGTCTCCAGCCACACAGACTTCCTTCCTTCTTCAAGTATTCCAGGCACACCCTGTCCCAGAGCCTTTGAACTGGCCATTCCCTCTGCCTGGAACTCTCTTAACAGCCAATTCCAGGATTTTTTTGTTCAAATATGGCCTGACTTCCTTAGCTAAAATTGTAACCTGATCCCTTCAACTCCCACTGTACCCACAGCTGCCCCGCTGCCTTATTTTACCTATAGAACGGGGCCCAGCACATCAGTGAGGCTCAACGTGTATTTGCTGAGAGTGTCTTGTCGCCCATGGAGTCCCCGACACAAAAACACGTGGCCCACGGGATGCGCTTAATTAACATTTGCCAACTGACCCAAGACCGTGGAAAAGGCCGACCTCACAGCCGAGGCGCAGATAGATGGAGTGGCAGGGGGGATGCCCTCACCCCACCCGGCTCACCTATGGCTCTCAGCCAGGTCACCCCCCGGATGGAGCCCTTGGGGAAGGTGGCAAACTCGCAGGAGTAGTTTCCCTCGTCCTCTACGGTCAGCCCCTGGATGGCCAGCGTGGCGTCCCGCAGCTCTGTCTCTGTGCCCTGTCCGGAGGTGACAAATGACAGCCGTTCGCTGCCGGGCTGTGAGCTGGGGTAGCTGGGGCCCAACTTGGGGTGGAGGGCCGCCACGTTCTGGTTGCTCTCGGGGTCGTCCAGGCGCTGCCAGGTCACCAGCGAGACGAGCACTTTGTGGGTAGACGGTAGCAGGTGGCATGGCAGCTCTACGGTGGCCCCCAGCTGGCCGCGCACCTCGGGTGGCACTTGGACTCGCACATCCTGGGCTCCTGGACAGAGAGGAAAGAGAGGTCAGGTGGTGGAGGGACCCAGAGACCGCCAGGCTGGGCAGGGTCGTCATGGAGGGGGCCCCAGAAAAGACATTTTGGTGAACACTAGGAGAATCTTAGTACGGACTAGATAACGTATTATTCTGGAATTGATTGTTAATATTCTTAGGTGTGAGGCCAGGCGCAGTGGCTCACGTCTGTAATTCTAACACTCTGAGAGGCCGAGGTGGGAGGACTGCTTGAGTCCAGGAGTTTGAGACCAGCCTGGGCAACATAGCAAGAACCCATCTCTTAGAAAAAAAGAAAAGATAAAAAATTCTTAGGTGTGATAATTAAACTGTGGTTATGCATGCTTTTTCCTAGGAGATACAGAGTTGAAATGTCACATCTGCAACGTACTGCCAAATGGTTCAGGAAAAAAAACAAAACAGAAATGTTACCCACTGTCAAGTCTAGGTGGGGAGGAGGAGGGAGGCTCCGGGTCATTCTTCCTACCTATATTGTATGTTTAAAATGTGTCATGATAAGATTGTTTGGAGAAAAAATAGAAACCTCTGAAAATAAATGGATAGAAAAATATGTAAGGAGGCCGGGCTCAGTGGCTCAGTTTGTAATCCCAGCACTTTGGGAGAACGAGATGAGTGAATTACCTGAGCCCACAAGTTCGAGACCAGCCCGGGCATCTTGGCAAGACCTGTCTCTACAATAAATAAAAAAAATTAGCTGGGCATGGTAGCCTGTAGTTCCAGCTACTTGGAAGGCTGAGACGGAACGATCGCCGGAGCCCAGCAGGTCAAGGCTGTGGTGGCTGGGAGCGGCCACTGCACTCCAGTCTGGGCGACAGAATGAGACTCCAAC